GCTGAAATCAAATCTCCAAATGACACACAACTTGATTTTATCATTGAATTTGGTAAAATGGCTCTTAATATGGCTGGCAGTCAAGGTAATCATAAAAAACAATTATCCCAAAACACTGCTACTGCCATACATCATATTTGCAATGGAATTGTTAGTCTATGTCGACATCTTTTAGCTACAAGTCATAAATATGTACTACTTGGGCAATTTTCAACTGATCCATTAGAAAAAGAATTTGGTAAACTTCGCCAAGGATCAGGTGTCACCTATTTTATAAAATAGAAAATTTTATTATGAAAAGTATGGAAAATATACCAATTTAATTGACCGTGGAAAACTAAAAGTTCCTTCTGACCACACTTGTCAATGGTTATTTTTTTTGTTTCATCCTTTTCCATACAATAAAGGAAAAGGTTTGCTATAAATCATTAAGTAACATTTTAATTCTTATTTCTGAGTTTCATTTTTTTAACATGGAGAAAAAGCATGCTTCTATTTTTGCAAATATAGTTTTGAAAAATTTTTGCAAACATGGCACACCTAGATCAGAAAAAGAACCAGCTCTAAAAGTTTTGAAACTTTCCTAGAATGATTTTGTTTTATTTGTCTATATTTCTGTGATGATTGATATATACACGCTTCAGCTGATGTCTTCCAGCCTTCTTGGGTTCTGTTTGTCAAACCCAGTAATTGTAATGTAAATTTAAACCAAAGTCTTTATTCACTCACAGGGAATAGATTGAATAAAGGATTCAGTGACACCTGTAAATAATATAAATTTCTGATTCAATATATCTTTTACCAGAAATCATAATTACCCCTTTGTGTTGTTTAATAATTATTAGTGTTCATAGCAAAAATACATATTTTCATTTATTTATCTTTCAACACATCCTATTATCCTCAGGTGTGAATAAAAATGTTATTCTAAGTATTTTATAAAGTGGTTGACTTCATTTTCTTCTAAAATTTCTGAAAATCCTACATTTTTCAATAGGTCTCCAGTTCTAGCTCTCAGTTGCGCCATGACTTGGCCTGGAGTATAGAACGCCATGGTTTGTACCCTCAGGTTTTTCTTCGATTACTCGTTCTATTTGTTCTTTGCAATTGTTGTTCTTTTGCTTTGAATTAGAAATGGATATTGCTATTGATTTTGTTGCTATTTCTTTGGTCCCTTCCTCTTTGTTGGGCTGTTTTATGAGGGTGACTTTAGGTTTTGTTATAGCTGGTTTGATTTCTTGTATGAACCCAAGCCAGTCATTTAGTCCCAATTGTAGTAGTTTCTCTACTAATGCCTCATATTTATCTTGTTTGGTTGTTGTTTCTCTTGCAACCTGTGAGTATGTTTTCCCTTTCATATATCCCTCCACTATTCTACGAGCCTCAGGGAAGGAGATGTTTTTGGTGTGTTTCACGGTCATAATTTCTTTTTCTTTTTTGAATGCATCACATTCTCTTGGGTAGGAGGGGTGATCTCCTCCACAGTTTGCGCAATTAGTTGTTTCTTTACACTCATTTGTAAGATGGCCTGGGTCTCTTCGTCCACATTTACCACATGCCGTTCGTCCTCATGGTGGCCAAATCTTTGGCAATTATAGCATCGAAGAGGGTTAGGGATAAATTGTTCCACCCTTTCTATATTATACCCAATCTTTATTTTTTTGGTATGATAGGTGTGTTGAAAGTTAAAATATATGTATTTATTTCTATTATTTTTCCTTCCCTTTTTATAGAGACCCTCTTCGCATCAATTACTCCTTGGCCTTTTAGTTCTGTTTTAATTTCCTCAAATGTGCATAATGCGAGTTCCCTGCTTCGCACTACTCCTTTAGAGGAATTTAATTTTTGATGAGGGTAGGCTCGTATTTTCACATTATGAAATTTGGTCAATTTCAGGAGGGAGGTGGCATATTTCTTCTTCTCTACCTCTATTAGTAGTGTTCCGTTTTGGATGCTCTTCACTGTTTTAGTGGGAACATTGGGGGATATTACTTTCTGTATCAAAAAAGGGGATAATTTGGTCAATGGAGTCTCTTCCATAGATTCTAATATTATGAATCTGGGAAAGTTTTCCATAATGTTATGTTCCTCCTCAGAGTCGGAATCCATATGTGGTCCCTTAATGGATTTATTGGAAATTAATTTGCCTGAGGGGTTTTGTTTGTGTTTGTTTTCCATTTAAATGTGTCATCTGATTCTTTGACTGTGCTCCCCACCTACCTATCCATGTTGGTGCCCGCAATTGGAATCTGTCAAAGGGGAAACCCTATCGCCTTGATGGATCAGGGATTACACAATCAGTATACTCATCAGTGTGAGAGACCCAGAGCACCTGTCACATCACCTTGTTCACCACCCCATGACATCAGTGCACAAGTGGATGGTTTGCAGCCATGTCTGGGCCTATGGGTCTCAACATTGACAATTGACCCTCAGCCAATGCTTTCTAACATCTACTGTTTAGTTACTTATAGAAATTTAGAGCTTAAGTATTTTATTTTGATAAATGGTGTTTTTTTTTTTTTTTTTGTTTTTTTAAATTGTGTTTGGGAGTAGATGTTAGGGCTTGACCTGACCAGCCGATTGATCAGATCGGGCCCCTCCGACCGCCCGTCTAGTCCAGGTAAAGGCCAAAGTGGTGTGTTGCAGGACCATGACCTCTTTGCACCCGGATCACGGTCTGCTCAGCCACAAGGATCCCGTCCCCAGGCATCACGGGTCGTCACCCATGGCCAACAGGTGGCCCCCTTGGGGGACTTTTACCCCCTGCAGAGGTGCAGTCAGCGTATTCTGAAGCCCTGCCAACAGGGCGTATTATCAATAGAATTTTGTAGTTTTGAAGTTTTATCTGTCAGATTTTGGTCTGTGGATTATTTTAAATTCAGAAATGGGATAGCAACACAAAATATGCAGTTTGAAATATAATCCTGGCTAAAACGGGAAATAAATTCTATAATCACGTTTCGAAAAGAATCAATTTTACTCCCAATGCTATAGACTAACTTCACCATCATCACAGAGTTGTCTTTAATAACAACTTTAATCATCTTGAAAAAATTTTAAACTGTCTCAAATCAAATTGTTTTGTTATTTAACTTTATCATTTTTACTTGTTAGTAGTATAATAAAAAACACCATTGAAATTTTTAGGAAATTAAAAAAAAAAATATTAAAAATATTTAAGTTATAAAAATGAGTAAATAAATACAGAAACAAATTAGTTAAATTTTATTGTAATTTTTATAAAAATCAATTTCATTTAAGTATTTTTGTTAAATCACTCTGGATAATTTTACATGGGAATGTTTTTATTGATTAATTTTTATGCTCAGAGTAATTTTTATCACATTTTGGTTTAAGAATTGTGATCTATGCATTCATTTCCTATTACAAAGTATATTAGCACATTACAATTCACAATCAAAAAAAATTTTCATTTACAGTGGGTGGGTAAATAAATATTTGTACACCTGAAAAATTTTATTTTTATAAATTTCCCATTTAATTTTTTCAAACATAGACAAAACATGGGTATTGAAATTAAATTAACAATTATTAAATAAACTAGTGCCCCTGTACCATCAAAAATGTCAGCAATTGTTAGAAAGTTTTAATAGTGAGATGCAATGAAACAAACGTCTTGAAACAATAAAGTGGAGATAAAGAATTCACAACTAAAATAGAGGACAATGAATGGTTTGTTCCCTTTATATTTTTAGATGTTTAATGGTATCTATGCTGCATTGATTACTCCTATATATATATATATATATATAATTTTTGCTCAATATCTTTCCATGTTAAAAAATGTTACGTGTTTAATATAACACTGAATATCTCAGAAGAAAAAGATTATCAACAGAACGACAAAGACAGCAACGATGAAGCCTATTTCAATACCAGTTTGATGCAAGATGTTCACCACTTAATAGACAAAGGTATCAAAGTGTCTCACACAAAAGGCTTGAACAAATAAGACTGCAATCTTAGAAATGTAGGAATAAAGGAACTGATTAATTATATGGTTCCTTTTTCTCAGGAAAAATGAATGTTATCCAAATGTCAATAAGTATTTTAGTTGTATAAATTATTAAACTTTCTAAGGGAAGTAATCGCTCATAAATTTTGTAACTTAGCTTGATCTACCTCCCTTCCTACTATAGATGGGACTGGAAAACCACATCAGAAACATAAATAAATACACATTAATAATTATTATATGGTTTGATGGAATGAAAATACAACTTGAAAGAAATTCAAATTTTCAAGAGTGGGTAGGGAAAAGTATTTGTAATCATAAGATACATTTTAAAATTTATAATTGTTTAATTAGACTAAGAAAATAATATTGTTCACATATTGGCAAAAAATGAAAAAAAAAATATTACATTGTAAAATTAAAAATAATTTGAAATAGTGTCAGCATTAATTCAGTACTATTTTTAATGTTTTCTAATAGCCATAAAAGTCATACAAAAATATTTAACAAGCAAATGGAGAATATATTATGGTTGAGACAGAACAGTGTATTTTTGGTTGTATCTCGGAACAAGATTTACAGTAAATTAGTAGACAATTCAGAATTTAGCTAACAAGACTGTCATTTTGTGGACTAGTGGAAAACACACAAAGACTTATTCTGACTCGGAATGTAAGGAAGCATTTTTAATGTAAAAATATATATTAACATTTGCTAATGTAAAACATACTTCAGTCAGTTATGTGCCATGCTTGATCCACTTTTAGGTGATCATGTATCTTTTGATATGTGACTGATGTGGCAGATTTCTTTCTGCGGTAGACCAGTTGCCATCCAAGGATATAGAACTCAGTCTGTCCAGCTATTTACCTATAGCTGGGGGGGGGAGAAGGGGAGGCTTCATATCTTTCCCAAGGTTATTAGTGTGTAAGTGAAAGTAGTGGATTCAACTTGAATTTAGCTATCTGATTCCTCAATCTGAGCGGCTATCCATCACTCCATCCGTATAAAATATACTTACAAATTTGAATTAGCTGCAAATGAAATTTGTGCCATCAGATTTCGGTAGATGTATGTTTTATCAGACGGATCACCATTTTCTTTTCTGTCATCAAATTCCAAATTTTGAAAATGGTTATAAAATGGACTCTGCTGACCCTCAAAGTTCATTCTGGAAAGATCAAGACAGGAAAAAGGAAAAAATTGAAACCATGCTATTCTATTCGGAATTACAATTACTACAAATGTTAATTTTCAGATTTTTATAAGTTTTTAAGACACAACGTTTACTCAACTGTTTCATTTGAATTTTGGCTACAGGTGCTAAAGAGGAATTATTTGTTTCATTCTTTGGTCTGTGGAAGCAACCTTTTCACCTGGTCAAAGACGATGTTAGTTATTTATTTAATTAAAAATAAAATTTAAAATAATGTAAAAATCAATTCATGATAATAGATTTTCAACATTGTTCAACCTTAAACAAACAAGTTAAAAAAACCGTGAGAATTTATGAACTATTGAGCATAAATACTACTTGAACTGAAGAATGACCATACTACACAATTTCAATTATAATTGGATATATTGTAAATGTAAAGTAAATCATTTGCTTATTTTTTTTTAAATCAGCAGAATAAAACCAAAGGACAATTTCTTTACAAGATTAGTTGTTTAACATTTTTTAAGTTACGATAATTTCAAATGTGAACTAAGTTATTTAAAGCACTTTCGTAAAAACGTCATGTTAAAAATCATTACCGGTTACTGTAATTCATTTCTAATACAGATAATCGTTCCACACCTTATCTTTCGTTTCTGATTTGGTAGGTCTTCTCTTAATAGTACATACATGTCATTCAAGATGCAAAAAAAAAATCTTTCCAAATTAAACTGTAAGGAAGTAATTGCTGCATGTTACAAATTTGGCGCCGTTTTTAAACTAAAAATAATGTGGACCACTACTTTCGTAGTCCTCCTCCTTCCTAAGTTTGCTCAATTTTTCAAACTTAATTTTAAATTAAAATTTCCATTTTATTTTAAAACTAAAATGGTCAGGTATTCTCATCTTAAAACGTTAAAAAAAAAAAAAAAAACATTTTTAGTCACTAAAAAAAAGTAACCTTGTTTTTGTCATTTTTACGGTTTTACCAGTGCTAATATTTTTTAAAAATCTGGTATTTTTTAATTCCATTTTTTTTTTTTTGCAATAATTTCTTTGGATATGATGTTTTAAATAAAATGAAAGCTCTTCATTTTCTAGATGGGCATGGACAAAAAAAACAAACAAACAAACATCATAAGATAGTACTGTAAAATCACACTATTGCATGCACCTAATTCCGCCAAGAACCGGAAGTGATGTCAGCACATGCGCACTGAAAACATTCTTTTTATTCATTATTATGATACTTAGTAACAGTGATGGCAGCTTCTGCAACAGCTCCGACTGTTGAGGCTCAAAAACAAGAAAATTTTGATAAGCAAACTCTTCTTGCTGTTTTACAATTTTTGAGAAAGAGTAATTTAAAGGTAACGATTTTCTTTAGGTTGCTTTAAGAATCTCCTGTGTTTATTGTTTCTGTGTGTAGACGTGGTTTATGTAGATCACATCCCGGTTTTGAATAGTAAGAAAGAAGGGAACATTATTTAAAATAACTGAACACCTAAATAATTATTCATTTGCTTGGGTTGCTATAATTTGATGCTTTTTTTCTCTCCATTTTAGTTTCAAAATTTTTGATTAAGATTGAGTAAAGGACCACCATATGACAATTTATTTTAAATTTTCGAATCAAACGTTATTTTGAAACTTAACGAAGAGAGTAGGAATCGTAGCTAATTTTCTGACTGAATCTAGTTCTATGACCATCTTGGTGGATTCATTTCTTGAGAAAAAGTTAAGGTTTTTAAAATTTATAGCACATGGCATTTTTAGCCATAGGTCGCTTGATCTCAAAAAGGGAGAAGGGGGAACACTGCATTTTGTTTACAAAGATTCTATAATGTTACACAAGTAGTTATTTTATTTTTACACTTAATAACTCACAAACCTTGTATGTTTGAAAAGTAGTAAAAAAATAAAATGTTTAGTTGAATGAATGAGTTCACTGACTAGTAATTTGGAAATTGATAAAACAAAAAAAGAAGAACGAGAAAAAACATGCATTTTCATGGAAGACATAAATTAAAAACAAAAAATAATCAGAGATTATCTTCAAATTTTCACAGTTCAAAATCAGAATTTAGTTAATCACACCAACGGTAGCGGTTAATTTGGCTTATTAATTACTTGTTCTTGATTTTATGAGGAGGTTAGAAAAAGGTATATCCAAGCTTAATAAAATTTATAGAGATTTTTTATGCTAGCCAAATTCTATGAATCCTCTACTTTGATCAACAAATGGAAAATGTAATTTATATTTTCTGATCATCAATACTACTTATCCTCTAGTCAGTGAGTCTATCAACTTTCAACTTCAAGGGTAAATTTGCTTTTTAACACCGGCGTTAAATATCTCTTATGTTCTCAAATCGTCATAATTCCGTATAAATGTACATGCTGAACTCGAATTAACAATTAAATTATGAAGAAACCTACCGTTTTGGAGTTATCGATAATAAAAGTTCGAACTCTGTCACGTTCAGCTGTCGGCCATTACTGGCCTTGTATAACTACATTCACTGCTGAACATTTAGCACGCGGAGGTTTAAATAAGAGCCAAAAAGGCTCTTCTTAACTGAATTTACTCGTTTGAAATTGCTCCGCATTTAAGTTACGTCGTAAAGCGATGACAAGTGGTGTTTTTTTTTTTTTTTTTTATAGTAAATCTTTCTTTTTAAATAAAAATTAATAAAAGAAAGCTTTTCTTTTACGTTAAAAATGAAACAAATAATAATAATTAATGCGCAAAGTTTGCACGAACTTTGAAAAGAGCATAATTATTTACAAAATAAAAAGAAATACTCCTTCCTAGCATTTTTTTATATTGTAATTAAAAAAAAACCATGCTCTTTCCAAAGTTTGCGCATTAATTATCATTTCGGTTCTAGCATTTTTTTTTTATTTTGTAGATAATCATGCTCTTTTCAAAGTTCGGGCATTTTATTTTGTAAATATCCATGTCTTTACAATTATCTACAAAATAAAAAATGCTAGAAACGAAATAATTAATGCGCAAAGTTTGGTCATTAATTATTATTTCCTTTCTAGCATTTTATTTTGTAAATATTCATTCTCTTTTTTACATTAATTGTTAAAAAAATGAATAAAGGCCTATAACTCAACGAAAACAAAGTTTTGTCACCAAAATGTTATTAATTGAAAGTTAAAAAGCATTAAATTTATTTACAGTAAGTAAAATATCCTGGTGTATTTCAGATAGAAATTATATAGATTGGAATGTCAAATAAATGCTCGATTTTTTTTTTCTTAAATTTTAAGAAATTTGTAAACAAAAAAAAAATTTCGATTTTAAACTTATTCCTAAAATAAATTATAATAACGTTATTTGAGTTAAAATTAGAAAATTTAAAGTTAAATTGATCTGATTTGAAACAAACATTACTTACTTGTAGCATAAAAAAATTGTATCCAAACATTTCTTAACGATGTGTCTGAATGTCTTTCTTTACCGCGTTATCGATGTAATCGAAATGTTACGAGGTGATGAAAGCTACTATGGATGATCAATTCAAAACTTAATTAAGTAAGCGAACGCGTCTTTTGGTTTTTTTTTAACTAGTACTTTTTAAATATTAACATTTATTCAACAATTATGTAATATTTATTTTTTATTTAATACTTTATTAATTAGATAATTGTTCAAACTTTAATAAAAAAAGTTTGAACAATTATCTAAATAATAAAAATTGATAATTAGATAATTTAAGTCTCTCCATGGAAATGTAAACAAAAGAGCACGATGAAAAAAACGCCAAACTTGAAAACAAAATTTTATCGTCTAATGTTCATATTATTATTAAAGAGGAAAGATCAAAGTATTTTGGGGGTATTTTTTTTACATTTTTTAATCGTTCCTAGCACGTCTGAAATTTTCGTTAAAAATATTGTTTTTTTTGTTTTGTTTTTTTGGTAAAAAAGAAGGACAGATAATCCATCATTTTCAATCATTTTTTTCGATTTGATAAAAAAGATGAAAATCTGACTTTGATATTCTTTTAAAAATCAATTATCATTTTTTCAAAACTGATTTTAATAAAAACAGAAATTATACTGTTTATTTAAAATATTTTGAACCAAGCTTAACTTAGCTTCTGCACCGAAAAAAATGTAATTTGAAAATAAAACAAAGCAGGTCATAACCTTTCGCGTCTTTTGACAGGTGACGAAAGGCACATTCATGACGTTTAGATAACTTACGGGAGGATAATTCTTTCTACGGATGGAAGGAAGTGAAATTATTTAAGTGAACAAATTAATTACCTCGTTACTTTTAAGGAAAACTTTTAGCGCTCTAATTTTTTAATTTTTTTTTTTTTTTTTGGTACTTAGCTTTCATTTTTACGTTTACGATGCTTTATGGAAAATATAAAGAAATTAAAAAATAAGACTGTTAATAGTGAGATTAAATTTCATAAGAAAAAAGTATCTAATTAATTTATAGGTACCTTTCTTATGAAATTTTATCAGAAGTGTACATAAAATACTATAATTTTATGTACATTTATCACATTTTACTGTGTTATTTGTATTCGACTGTATACACAAAAGTTACATGAATTAATTACTTCTGCAAATCTGATTGGTCCAAATGAAAAAAAATTCAATGCGCTAGACAATCTCACGCTGTGATTTTGAAAGGTTGATGGTGCTTTTAACTAAAGTTAAAATATTTTTAAAAATTCAATGAAAAAATTTAAAAAAATCTTTTTAAAATTAAAGAAATAAGAAATAATTGTATTAAAAATTCAATTTTCATTGAAAAAATTTTTTGCTTTCAGAAAATATTGTCCATATTCATACGAACAAATAAAAACAAATAAAAGCATTTGAAATTAAATAGTATATTTGTTTTTATTGAGTTTTGCATGTTACAATTCAGAGCTGATTTTCAGGTACGGGGGCAACATTAAAAAAAACAAAAAAAAAAACATGATTTACATTCTTCAAAGCCTTGTGCTTTAACTATTGTAATCACTAAAAACTGATGGTATGAATTTCTAGAGTTTTTCATAAAATTAGATATGGGGGTGTTAATAAATATAAAAAAAAAATATTTCTGCCATGACTTTAATAAAAAAAAACATATTTATAATAATTTTGATCATCTGTGAATAGTTTCTGAAAGTTTCATTAACATCTGACAATTATTTTTATTTTTGCAAGACTTTCCAAATTAATGTGTGTAAATACAAAAAAACGTGCTAAAAATTATCTGTTATTTACTACTCCATGTTGCAACAAAGAGAAACAAGGTTTTTTAAATCAAAATTTAGAATATTCTAAAAAGATGGAAAAATTTTAAAAAATAATTAAAAAAAAATTTAGTCTATCCTCTTCATAAAAACATAAGCATTTTGACGATAAAATTTTATTTTCATAAACTTTGGCGTCTTTTTCATCAGACTATGCTCTATGTTTTAGCGATTCCGTGGAGTGACTTAAGATAATTGTTTAAACTTTTTTCTTTTTAATTGTTTAAACTTTTTCTTTTTAATTAGATAATTGTTCAATCTTTTAATATTTTAACCCAATACCCTAAACAATATTAGAAATTGCTGTTATCTATAATGGTGAAAAGACTTTCAGAAATATTTTGTGGCCCTAAAAAGGGCCATTTTTATCTTCCATTGCCTCTTCATCGTCATCCTTGCTGGGCTAATTTTCAAAA